GGGGGGCCGGTGGCCGGGGGTGGGTTCAGCATCGCTGCCACTCCTGGTCCGCCAGCGTTGCCCAGTGGGATGCTGTGCTGTGAAGGCACCGTGCCAGCTGCTGGGCTGGGAATGCCCTGTTCACAGTGGGAATCGTCGGTTTGGGCCAAAGTCGGTGGTTTTGGGCAACGCACGACGAAATCTTGCTGCGGGGAGGGGAGGCTCCGGCGCTGCTCTGCCTGCCAGCCCAGGGGGGCTACCATCAAGGACGTAGAGAATTGGTGGCACGTCCCTCCAGCTGCCTGCCTGCCCCTTTTTGCCTTAATTTTGCATTAAATTTGAACTAACCAGCCCTCTCCCACCTCCATCCCCACACACGGGACCGTTGCTCGCAGGGCATCACCTGCCTGCCTCTGGAGCCAGCACCGAGGCGGAGAAGCTCAGGGTCAAGTCCCCCGCCACGTGGAAGCTTATCCATATCTTGGATATCCACCATATCTTGGCCAGCAGCTCCTCGAGATGCCGCCAGATGTCCCAATGGCTCTTGCGTTCATGTTTGGGTGAATTTAGGCTGTGTGACCGGTTAAGAGTGCTGAAAAGCACGGTAGGAAATGCTCCGGCTGGAGGAGACTGAGGATGGAGCTGAGGAACATCAGCCCAGCACCCGGCCCACGTGTCGGTGGGGAGAAGAAGCGATGTAACGGCCCAGAAGGATGCGTAGCAGAAGCCAGAATGGTCTTTCTAGCTGGGAAGCCTCCTGGCTATACCCTCCTCATCGCCGGGCAGATGTCTGACGGCTTCCCCTGGGGAGCCGAGATGATGGCTTTGACTTCTCATTTCCTCCTGGCATGTTTAATTGCCTGATTTTTTTTTTTTCTCTAGAAGAAAAGGGAGGAGATGCGGGCAAAAGAAGACAGATGTATGGAGAAGAGAAGTCCAGGTGACAGATTGAGGGATGCTATAACCACAATAGCCGGCTTGATGGATTGATAGATTAGACAGGGAATATAAATAGCAAGCATGGTTTATCTACCTCCGTTTTATTTTCCTCCTGCTTATCTCTTTATCTCTCCTGGTGTTATTTTCCTCCCGCTTATCTCTTTATCTGTCGAACCCGAGGATGGAGGAGAGGGGGGGTGACAGAAGTAGGATGGATGAGTTCATGTTAGCACTGCTTTTGCAGCAGGCAAGTTTTGCCAGCCGGGGAGGATTAGGAAGCGGACTCAGATCTGCACACCGCTATGCTCTTTTTTTTCTTTCTTCTTTCCAC